CGAATATTTCGAGGGGGATTAATAAAACTGGCCCGCCGGGCTAGCAAACCCCCATTCTCCAGCATCGATGAAGACAAAGACCGAGGCTGGATGAGCAGGTTTGTCCGGATCAGGACGTCCGACCTGATTCCGGCTGATTGCATGCCATTTCCGGAGAGGTGGAACCTCAAACGTAAGTATTTTCTCACTGTTCATCTTTTAGAGTGTGTTTTCCTCAACTTCTTCCTGAAACCCCCTTTTCTTGTGCAGCGGTGACCCAAACTCCAGCTGCCATCAAGGATCTGGCCGGCTGGGTAAACAAGATAGTGGCCCAGCGGCCATATTCGGAGCGAAACTGGAAGGAAATCTCCAAAGGTCGGTGGGAGGCGAAAAACCATGGTAAGCCTTCTTTTTGACCGGTAGCGCACCAAGTTAACGCATTTTTTCTTGTATATCGGGAATGCATCATAACCCTCGTGTTTTGCAGGCTTGCCCAAGGACGCGGAGATGAGGTCTTCAATACTATGCCCCCTTAAACTGTTTACCCTGGAATCCGGATAACAATTGAATTTATATGGGGTTTTAAGGATCCGTGAACTAAAAGATACAAAAGGTTTGGATTGAGGAAAATAAAAGATAAAGACTCAACAATTGCTGTTAAAGTAAATAATCGCAGAATATAATATTGCTTAGAACAATTGTGCTTGATAGCGTACAAGAATTGAGAGAGATGGTACTGTAGTCTAATGGTTTCCGATCCCCTCTTTATGGGGTCTTCTCCCTTTTTATACATTCTGATTAAGGGTAAAAATAAGGTAGGTAAATTAATTACATCGTGGATCCCTGTAATTACGCCTTAATGGCCTGAAGTGGTTGAGAAAATCACGTTTGGGCGAGATATCCGGCGACGCTTGGTTATCCGTTACGAGTCCGGCTTCCGACCTTGTGTGTTTCTCCATCCGGTGGTGACTCATATCGAGCTCTGCAACGGTCTCGAAATGACTCGACCTCGGTCGTTGACGTGGCCGTCGTTCTACCTTGCATCCAGGTCGGGTTCGATGGCCCCGACTTGCCCCGGACCGGACCCAACCCGGTCGGGCTCAAGCAAAAAGGGTATCACCCAATACACCAGGATCAAAGAGAGAAATAATTCCTTAGCTGCTGCTGATGTTGCTGATTCATCCAAATCTTGTTCCGTGCCTGAAATTGGTCGTCAGCAGCAGAATTAGCAAGAAAAATTCAGAGAAAATGTATCTGATTTTTCAGGTTCACTGTACGCTGATTATCTCAATTACCCTTATGATCACATAACTGATAGCAACACGATCGCTAATGTTAGTGCAACTACAACAGATTTTAGTAGCTGGGCTGATTTTATTCAGCCTGTCAATAACTTTCAGAGCTCGAATGGGGAGATTATTGAAGTGGGAAACAAAGAAGAGGAGATAGGAGAGGCAAGTAATACTGATGTATTAGAAGATATAGAGTCCAATATTGATTTCCAGTTTCTTGATGAAATTGGATCGTGTTACTATTCGTCATTTGAGATAGCTGAAGAGCTATCATCAGAGACAATGGAACATGGGATGGTTTATGGGGAAGAAACATCAGTGGTAAGTGAGGCAATGAGGAGGATGAATTACGAGAGGACGTTTTCGGCTTCCCTTTATGCCTTTAATGGGATTACAGAATGTTTAAAATTGAAGATGAAATCTGGTGGAGTAACGCAATGGGAAAAGTCTGAGCAATTATCCACACTCTGAAATGCATGCAAGGAGAAGGAGAAAAGTGAAGAATGCAATGTTGAAATGACCGAGAAGAAGGATGAAGAAGCAGTGACATTTTCGTCGATGGAGAGTACTTATGAGAGTGAATTGTCCCTATGGAGCTCTATTGATCTCCCACCAATATGCTTTGTTACTTGAAAACATTGGCCAGAAATGTTGTGTAACCCCTCCTTTTATTTCTATTACTAGAAGTTGGTCTCAGCATAGCAATATATTTAGAAAAGTTGATATATGACTAACCAGGACTATGAGTTTCAGCTGTTATGATAAACAAGAAACATGTGATATGCTGCTGAAAACAAGAGTTCAAACAAGCTCTTTTAAGACAATTTGGATATAAAGGGATTGTTATTTTTCAATGATGGGAATTGGGAAATATAAAAATTGAATCCTTTTGGCATCCATAGCTAACAAATTCCTGCTAGGATTTTCATTTTTCTAGATTCCGCGGATGATCTCCAGCAAGATCTCTCTGATTTGATGAGCTTCAATTAGCCCACCGCGAACCACCTGAAATAATACATAGAAAGATAAAACAAATTGTTTATATGTTCTTATACTGCACCACACAGATGAAGTAAACAAATGCTACTAAAAAAGTTAACTTTTTTAACAATATGTTTTCCTACCTCCACAGATGAAGTAACAAGAAGTGTTCCTTTTGAGGCAGTGACACTGGTGTCATTGAGATCAAATCCAAGAACATTCATTGCCTCCATCAGTTTAGTAAATCCACCTCTTTTCTTCTGGCAAACTATCTTTATCCAAAGGTTACTTGTACCAATCTGAACCACTTCAACTTCAGGCTATTTTAAAATTGTTTTAATGTCTAGTAGTAGTAGATTAGGAAACCAAACTTCAACTGAAGCAACAAAGATTGTAACTTTGGTTTATACATAAAGTTACCTACCTCTGCAGCATCAATAATCTCTTCATTTTTTGTCTCCAATTCCTCTATATGAGGTGCCTTCATTTCTAGAAGCTGCTCAGTTAGGTTGCTCACATTTGTTTGTAGCTCTCTAATGTAAGTGATGGCATCAGTAATTATGGCTTCTTTGGTCATCTGTAATCAGACAAGAATTTAAAGATTTTAGAAAGTGGTTAAAAATCCATTCTTTAGAAAATTGTCACTTGAAAATGAAGAATGAAGGGTTCTGATTCATTGCATTTGTAATATTTGGGACCAATGAGCGCAATGCAAGAAGCCTTTCATTAAGTTTTTGACGCCTCTTTCTCTCAGGAATAAGGTTCTTGGATTTGTGTTCTTTAACTTCACCCTCAATTTGTTTCATTCTATCTACTTTACTATCTTCAGATATGTGTGAATCATCGAATGGAGTGTTGAGGAATTCCATTTTCTCAAACTTAATTAACATTTAATGCAAGCCAGAGAGAATTGATATAGGGTAAGTTAAAATGGATTCCTAAATAAGAAAGGAAATCTAAAGACTAATGTTGAGTGCAGCTTATAGAAGAGGCACTGTACTGGCTTTTGTTGTAGGCAGGCAATAGGTTTATATAGGTGCTTCTCACAAAAGAAACATTTCTTGGTAGTGGGGATCTTCTTGTTGCAGTTTGTTGGGACAATTCCTAATTGATCACAATGTACCTTGGGTGTTTCTAAAGGACTCATTTTTGGCATGAGAGAGAGAGAGCGAGAGAGAGAGGGAGGGAGGGAGGGAGAGAGGAGGGGGGGGGGGGGGTTCAGGCACTAGAACGATTTGAAGTTTTGGAGAAAACTTATTTTGTGCCTCACACAACTGATACTAGTTGTGTGAAACCTCCTTTTTGTCTCACAACTTTGTGGTCCCAGAATTTTATGGACCCAAATGTGTAAGATATGGGTCCACAAATGTGTGAGATAAAAAAAATACTCACACAACTAATATCTTATTGTGTGAGGCACACCATAAAATCACTCGAAGTTTTGGAAGGGTGGCAATGTTGGAGACTATTTTGTGGTTGTTACTAGTATTAGTGGCGTTAGAAAGTACAAATGAGTGACCAGAGATGCTTGAAGCAGGAAATTTTAGTTCTCTTTTCACTTTTTCACTGACAAGAATAATATTTTTAAGTACAAGCTGATTTTGTAAAGCATTAGGAAGAGTATATGATATTCCAAACATGTATCCTGTACTTTAACCAGTCAAAGTACAATTGAAGTATCTTTCAACTTCACTTTCTATTTCCAGAATATTTACATGACACGTTCCACTTGGGTAATCAAGGTTGGTCATTAAAGTAAATGAGGGATTTTTAGCCCTCATTATCATTCATTTTCCTTAAAATTTCAGCTTTTGCTCCAAATGTACTAAATCCAACTTTCCCACTTTCAATTCTTTTCACCAGCTAAAATATGGTGTGTTACCCCAAAGAGACCAACTTCACTACATTAAATGGTACATACTTTTGCATCAGTTAATTCCCAAAAAAAAAAAAAGAAGAGGAAAAGATATCCTCAGGATGTCGAACAATAATCAGGAAAAAGAGAAGCAACTAGTAAATTCTACAAGGGTCAAAGAGAGACTGCTCATCTTGCAAAATGGAATCTTTAGTTCAATCCATAAGTGGAAAGTGTAGGTAACTGAAACTCCATAGACACTGACAATGTTAAGAAGAAACATGTCACAAAAGAAAAGTAGCTAGAACTCCTAGCGAATCAACAAAAAGAGTTGCTAGGCACCTCTGACTAAGCAGGGTGGAATTTGTTAACAGAGAAATGCAGTAACTGAGCTGGTATACCAATTATATACAAGCACGAGCTTTTCTAGAAAACATCGATAGTCTTCCAAGTTAGCTCCTTATTTCGTAGATTTCAGAGGACTCGAAGCTGAGCAAGAAAAGCAGCACAGAGATCCAAGAAGAGGAATTGTGGACCCTGAACCCTCTGAAGGTCAAGCAGGTACTTCTCCTCTCTAGTTTTGTAAAGCTGCAACCAAAGGAACTCGAATATCAATAACATTCCAAAAATCATAGAAGATGTAGTCAAGAATATAGACTCAAGAAAAGCTGATCCAAATGATAGAATTGACTATTCTACCAGTACATGTTACCTTCCTCTAGCATAGGTATAGGATAACAATGCACGCCAAGTCTTCAGGAAAATGTGAAGAAATCACCTACTAACATTTTTTTCATCTAGTTCTTAATCTTCAGATTACATAAGGACCAAATATTATTCATTCCAATGTTGAAGATCAACCTAAAAAGCCATTCTTCTGAGTTACCAATCCACCGCCAAATAACAAAGAGAGGAAAATCCAGCAAAAGACCAGCAACTGGAGTTACCGGATCATAAAAATCGATATTGTATGATATTTATAGTCTGTTTGGCCAAGCTTATAAAATCAGCTTATTTTGAAATGTGTTTTTCTCAAAAGTGTTTTTCAAAAAAGTACTTTCGGTGAGAAACAATTTGTATTTGGCTAATTAATTTGAAAAGCACTTTTGAGCAGCACTTAGTGTTTGACCAAGCTTTTAAAAAGTACTTCTAAGTATATTTTTCTCAAAAGTACTTTTCAGAAAAGTAATTCGGGGAAGAAGTTACTTTTTTTTGCTTCTCAAAAACTGCTTCCGCTTCTACTCAAAGGCACTTTTTCTTCCTTCTAAAAGCTTGGTCAAACACCTTAACTTGGGTAAATAAGCACTTTTGGCCCCAAAAAAAAAAACAAATTTGGCCAAAAAGAAGCTTGGCCAAACAAGCTATTAATCTATTTCTATGCATAGTTGTATCTAAAAAACATTGTCAAGCACCAAGCAAAAGCAAGCTAGAAATGTAGGATCCATACAGATCAATAGTTCCTGAAATCCCTGACCCTCCATTTGATAAAACAGATGTAGATATACACTTAAAAACGCAATAGCATTTACGATACAGGCATTAAATAAGTGAGACTTCCACCAATCATGTGCAACATATTTCATCATTGCAAGTACAGACTTCTCTCTCACCCAATTCTTCGTTGATGTCATTGACATTGACAATTCTACTATAACATTCTTTTTTTTTTTCGTGATAAACATGCTTTTAAACATTATCTTAAGGCTAAAGCATCATTAATGTACTCCTGTATAAATAAAAATTCACAGAAACTGGATGTATGATCTATGAAAAGTTTGATTACCTGAACTTCAAACTTGACCACATTTGTTAATTTAGTGACCCCATCATTCTCAGTAATGGTTGAATCATCTCCGAAGAACTGACTCCCGTGCATAGAATTAATACCCATGCCTTCATGATGACCTGGTACGCTAGGAATCCATCGGCATTTCATGTTATACTGACCAATCTTTTTCCAACACACGTTTAGTTCTTGCAGAGCTTTCAGAACTTCAGTCATTATCTCACGTGGATGTGCTCGAGACTGCAGCAAAACCAAAACGACAATTATCTATAGCATACTGTTGAACAGAATAAAGGCCTAAATTGACTAGAAAGTTTAAACAAAGAACCCATTCAGTTAGCAGAGGCTATATGTGCATGATAGTGCATAATTATCAATGGAATTAACAAGATGTCCTAAAGCTTATCAGAACCTTGATTAAATTTCCATCATGAAAATAAGAACCAAGCTCTTTAATATAAGTCTTTCCCTCCCTTCACGGGTTAACATAACATCCTTTTGCTCCTTTTTTAATTTAATCAATAAGTATGAATGTACAATGATTTACTTATTCAAAAAAAAAAAGGAGAGAAAAGTCCACTTATGTGCATGAGAAAACGAACCAACCTGGAGTCCAAGAGCCCATTTCCTTTCGATGGGAAACTGTCTCGCACCAGCTTGCTGATAATCCATTATTCCTGGGAACCGTTGCCCAACAGGGGAAGTAACAGCTTCATTTGAATTGTTTCGATTGTACCCATGTTCCTGTAAGGGCATTTTTTATATATCCAATTATACAGATATTTTACGGTAAAAAATCTGGACTAGAAAAATCAATCACAACTACATACCCCACTTGTTGATGGACTCATTAACCATAATAAAGATACAACATAATCGTGGAGAAGAAACTCATTACAAGATGGTGACTTCATTTTATAAAAGCAGTTAAAAAAGAAACTGTAGCTTTATTCAACGGGTACAAGCAAAGACGCACCACAGACTCCTGAAATTCAGCTCCCAGATAGCCAGTGGAAACACGATGGCGATTGTCTAGTAACAAATAATATGCGACAGTGCCCTGAAATATAACAAAAAAAATGAGGAAAACAGGCAGTCCAGGAAAAAAGAAAAGGTAGATGGTTGATAATGATGATGAACCTCATTTTGGACTCTATTGCGAAGTGATTCAATAAGGTTGCTCCTGTCAAATCCCATTTTAACCACCTCTTGAAGAATCTCTTCATCGATCTGCAATTAAATAATTCTCAAAAAGAAATTGACTAGGCGAGAATTTTGCTAGTATAAAAGCATGTTTGGACCTAAAAGTTCATACAAAAGGTTTCAAGTCTTGAATTCACTGCAAAAAGGCCCCAGATATCATACAAGTAGATTTTGAGTGAATGTGAAAAGAAAAGCATTTGAAAAAAAAATTAAAGAGGATGCAGTCATGCACCAACACATCACATGCATGTCAATGAATACAGCAATTTCCTAATTATATTTAGTTGCAAAATTTCTACTAATATTTGTCGGGTGTATTTCGCAGAGTGGACCTGGAGTAAAACTACAAAAGAGAAACTAGAGTGGGACTTTGTTGCAAGCAAAAGGGTGAAGGAAGTCATAAACTAAAAAGTTGGATGAAAGAACAAGGATATTCTGATGATCTGACCAACATGTAATGAGAGTATCTAGCGCAAGAAGCATGGTAGAGACAGCACGACAAATGTGATCTTTTCTTAAGATATGCAACTGT